GTTTTTGTGTTCGGAAAGTTGTCGGTGGTTATGAAAATGAGAGATTTTTGTTGAACTGTGTTGATTGCTGGTGTGTTGAGCTGACTTACTTGTTCTACAGTGTAGAAAGAGTTGAGATTTGATGAATTTGAGATCTCTTATTGCTATGAATACAGTGTTGATAAGACTAAGAGTTCTTTTAGTCTAATTAGAGATATGTATGTTCGTGATATGGAATAAGGGTGAGATTTAGGGATTGTGAACATTTACTACGTGTGGAACTCAGTTAACAGTGTATTCTATCTAGCTTAATCAAGCTAGCAGATGTGAGAGTTCTCGTTGAAATGTGGTAGTGTTGTTGTTGTGGTGGTTATAAAATGTAAGATTTTTGTTCAAATACATTGATGCCGGTGTCTAAGTTGACATATGTATTTTACAATGTAGAAAAAAACTAGATTTGGTGAAATTGAGATCTCTATTGCTATGATTCCATTTTTCTGTAGAAAGGCTTTAATTAAGTCTTTTGCCGGGAGTTCTTTTAGTCTAATTAGAGCTTTGTATGTTCATGATGGAATATGGGTGAGATTAGGGGTTTTGAACACTTACACTGTGTGAAGCTGAGTTAAAACAGTATTCTATCTCTCTAGATCAAGCTAGAAGCTATCTGCTTTCTGGTTGAAATGTGGTAGTGTTGATTTCGTTGTGCTCAAAGAGTTGTCAATGAAAGATTTCTGTTGAAATACGTTGATGCCAGTGTCTGAGCTGATCTGCTTATTGTATAATGTAGAAAGAGCTAAGATTTGGTGAAATGACATCTCTTATTGCTATGATTGCATTTCTGTGTCGGGACTAAGAAATATTTGGTATTGATATACTTAATTAAAGTGGAGTTCTTTAAGTTTAACTAGAGCTTTACGAATAAGGGTGTGATGAACATTTACGATGTGTGAAGCTGAGTTAGTACTGTATTCTATCTGACATGATAAGCTAGAAGCTATCTGTTTTTTCTTTCCGATTTGCAAAGCCTAGCTCTTGTTACTCTCTTCTAAGTGCCATACTCGTCACCTACAGCCCGGTAAATAAGCTAGTTGATACAAATCTAATTTGCAAATGTTGAGGCTTAGATGGTATAATTTCCGTGTGCGTAGCAAGCTCTTGTTATTTAAATTTGAGCGAACATGTTGATGCATATGAAAAGAGAAGATCATAAAATGTAGAGCAATATACTCATAGTAACTTTTTCCACCACATAATTTGTACAAGTAGTTGATGCTGAATCCCCTAAACAGTCACTACTTCCCATGCCTTGTAACAGATGGGTGATAAAGAAGTATAATCAGGAAACATTGAATTTGCCATGTCCTTTTTCCCCACAAGTTTTGATGTTCTCATTGGAGACAAATGGTAGTTACCTATGGCTCTGCATGTGTCTCTTATGAACATGTCTCAGTTCTGTATTTTTTTAAAATTATCTGGGTAATAACTGATGGCTTGTTATGTTTTGGATTATCCTTCCAGTGAAACATACCGCTTCTTTGACCTTCCTTTTTGTACTCCAGGTATGTAACTATTGTTCGTAAGTTTCCTTTCTTCAGTTACCCTGTAGATTTTTAAGTTCCAATTTACCAAGGGATGCTCTTGCAGATCATGTAAAAGAGAAGAAGGAAGCCCTTGGTGAGGTCTTGAATGGTGACCGATTGGTCAGTGCCCCTTACAAGCTTGACTTTTTGTATGATAAGGACTCAGAAATAGTTTGCAAGAAGAAGTTGTCCAAGGAAGAAGTTTCTCAATTCCGCAGCGCTGTTGCTAAAGACTACTACTTCCAAATGTATTACGATGACCTGCCCATTTGGGGTTTCTTAGGGAAAGTTGATAAGGAAGGAAAGTCTGACCCCAGCGAGTACAAATACTACTTGTTTAAACATCTTCATTTTGAGATCTTTTACAATGATGATCGTGTGATTGAGATCAATGCACGAACTGATCCTAATGCCCTGGTAGATATTACAGAGGATAAGGAGGTTGATGTTGACTTCATGTATACTGTAAAATGGAAAGAGACAAAAACACCTTTTGATAAGAGGATGGAGAAGTACTCACAGTCTTCCTCGTTGCCGCATCACTTGGAAATCCATTGGTTCTCAATTATCAATTCTTGTGTGACAGTTCTTCTCTTAACTGGTTTTCTTGCCACAATTCTTATGCGGGTCCTTAAGAATGACTTTGTCAAGTATGTAGTAATTTTGTTATTTTGCTTGTTATGTACTTTTGTTGGTTTTTTGGTACAAAATTGTCTTAGTCTTTGGCTCAAATATCATTCATATTTTTTTTTTATTAAGGTATGCACATGATGAGGAGGCGGCTGATGACCAAGAAGAAACTGGGTGGAAATACATCCATGGTGATGTGTTTAGGTACCCAAGTCACAAATCCTTGATGGCTGCAGCACTTGGGAGTGGCACACAGTTATTCACATTGTAAGTATTTTCTGAATGGTTTACTCTGGAAAAGTAAATTTTCAGTAGAATATTAAAAAATTCTGTTCAATGTGGGTTTAATCTGACAGCTTCTTGCTTGGTAATTAGGAAATTTGTCGTCTCAAGCATGCCTTTGTTAACACTGTTTTCCTTTCACTTTGTAGGACCATCTTTATTTTCCTTCTCTCACTTGTTGGTGTTTTCTATCCATACAACCGTGGAGCTTTATTCACGGCACTGGTCGTCATATATGCTCTCACATCTGGTATTGCAGGCTATACTGCTGCCTCTTTCTATTGCCAGCTAGAAGGGACAAACTGGGTTTGTTTTCTTCTCTCTGTTATATTGCATTTCCAGTTGAATATAGTTTGAGAATTTTATCTACCTTACTAACGTCAAAACCCCTAATTCTGAATATTTGCTTGCTGTCATCCCATAAGAAGGGAAAATGCTTTGATTATTTTTTTTCCCAATAACAAGCTTCCGTGGAGTATTTTCTCTATCATTTTCTTAGGACACTGAAAATTGAAGGTTTGTAAATAGTAAGTCAAATCATTTGTTTGCTGAAAGGCACATACTCTGATGGCATAACATAACTTTGACCCTCTATATTAAGGATTTAGACTGTTCATCTGCTATTCCCTTGCTCTTTTGCTAAGCAAATGAAAAACCAGAACTTGGTTACTCAAAAATCCTATTCAAGCAGGCAAAACAAGCTGCTCATAGAGTTCTGTTCTTTTTCCTTGATTTAGGTGTGTCGTGTGTGATGTTCTGTATGGTAGATGATTTGTTGCTTATTCCTTCTGGACAGAACATTAAGGAAGCCAAGTTGGTATTTAGAAAAGCAGTATATCTTTATTCTGTCATACAATTAACTTCATCTTTTAAAGGTCAAGGCCAAAATATATTTCATGCTTCATTCTTTTTCGGTTTGTCTATGCCATCAAATATTTGTTTCTGTGTTTGTTTAGTTCACTGTTGCCCGAGCAAGCTTAATCATTAGATTTCATTTCTTCCCTGCAGGTCAGGAATTTGATATTGACCGGAGCCTTGTTTTGTGGACCCCTGTTTCTCACGTTCTGTTTCCTTAACAGCGTAGCAATTGCATACAGTGCTACTGCTGCACTGCCTTTTGGAACCATTGTGGTCATCTTTCTCATATGGGCTCTTGTGACATCACCTTTACTTGTATTGGGAGGGATAGCTGGAAAGAACAGCAGGGCTGAGTTCCAAGCTCCTTGTCGAACCACCAAATACCCAAGAGAGATCCCACCATTACCTTGGTACCGCGGAACTCTACCTCAGATGGCAATGGCTGGGTTTTTGCCTTTCAGTGCCATATATATCGAACTTTACTATATATTTGCAAGTGTTTGGGGTCACAGAATTTACACCATATACAGCATCTTATTTATAGTCTTCATCATTCTTATAATTGTGACTGCTTTTATTACCGTGGCCTTGACATACTTTCAACTTGCTGCTGAAGATCATGAATGGTGGTGGAGGTAAGTCTATCATTTTACTTGTGTCACTGTTCCTTGATCTTTCTTATGAATAATCTATGCATTTAAGCAATTTGAGAAACATTTTGTGATTATGTTAAAATACATTTACCAGTTCATAGTAGTGATTGTATATATGTTTGATCTGAATAGGGCTTTCCTTTGTGGTGGATCGACTGGACTTTTCATCTATGGCTACTGCTTGTATTACTATTATGCCCGTTCCGATATGTCTGGCTTCATGCAAACCTCATTCTTCTTTGGATACATGGCTTGCATCTGCTATGGTTTCTTCCTCATGCTGGGGACTGTGGGTTTCCGTGCAGCCCTATTTTTTGTCCGTCATATATACCGGTCAATCAAGTGCGAGTAGGAAGCTAGTACGACGGTCGTACAGAATGCTTTACAGATGTGGTAGGGCAATGTGGTATCCCAGAAGACCTTGTAGGATCTCTTGAGAATGATGAAGCATGTATTATCTTACACCGGAAAGTTAAGAACTTTTTGCCATTTTTCATTTACATCTCAGCAATTTATATCGATTAATAGGGGTATATTAGAGTTTCTGTTCCATATTGCAACACAATTATCCTAATCTTGTCTAGTATTATTCCTTTTTACTGCATTGGACAAACTTTGAGCTATAAATTGTACTGGTCCCAAGTTCCAGAAGATTGTATCAAAAATGTGTCATTCATTTATTTTATGTTCTAAATCTCGCTTTCAACTTCAACGTATTATTTTTTGTTTCTAAAAGCTTTTCTCTTGCATCTTTACGGACAAATGTCACATTTTTTCCATTGTGACATAACAGGGCTTAAGTTTTTCATTTCTCCGACATTAAAGACTTCAAAAATGATGTCTAATCAGACAACTGAGAGGATAAGGTCCAGATTAATAATACATTGGATCCATCTCCATCCTGGCATTTCATATCAGGATTCTTTAAGACTAACGCAAATCAATATTCAGACTAGGAGATAATAAGTAACTTGCCAATCAATACAAAACACAAAGGATAAGCAAAGCATATAGAATATATCAAATCCTGCAATGATGATTGTCTTATAAGTTTGTCAATTGCTTTAAGTAGTAATAATGTTTTAACAAACAAAGGGACAATTGAAATCCATCCAATATTGTAACACAAGTCTAAAATAATAGTAAAGGAAATCCAGTTTACAAGCAGCTCTGCCGACTGCAGAAAACATGAAACAGCATCTCCTCTCTGCAGCTATCAGTTTGCATATTCCCTTTCAACAAAAGGCTAGCTGTCAATGTGCTCTTCTGAGAAGGTGAGACAGTGAGAGTATCCAAACTCTTACAAAACGTAAATGTAACCAACTACCTCCATGTAGAACCACCAAGTCTGATAACCTCCTCAGTACTAGTATCCCTATTTGGAGCCCTGTCATCACCTATGTTCTCCTTTTTATTGCCGAAGTCGCCATATAGATCTTTAAGCTTGGCCAGATTGCTAGATGCAGCCTTCTTCTCCTTGCTCTCATCCCTAGGTGGAGTTCGCTGCTGGTCAAGCCTTGTACCTTGATCATGCAAGCTTCGGCTGTGGCTTCTACTCCTACTACGGCTCCTGCTCCTGTCATAGTCTCTTCTGCTTCTCTCAATTGACCTTCGATCATAGTCATACCTCCTGTCTCTATCCCTTCCCCGGTCTCTGTCATAATCATGCCTCCTGTCTCTGTCCCTTTCACGATCTCTTTCGTTATCATACCTTCTATCTCTATCCCGATCCCTGCCCCTATCCCTTTCTCTTTCCTGGTCCCTATACCTATCCCTATCCCTATCCCTATCACGTTCTCTGTCCCTAGTTCTTTCCCTGTCCCTGTCCCTGTCCCTGTCCCTGTCCCTGTCCCGGTCCCGGCCCCTGTCCCTTTCAGAATTTTCCCGGTCAGATAAATCACGGCTTTGACTCCGGCGCATGCTGGGGGAACGTCTTGAACCATTTGCACCATCCTTATCATAGGATGGTGGTGCAATTGTTCTTCGGATGGGAGATGAATCTCTAGTTGATGCACGATGAGGTGCCCGCTGACCAAAGGACACTGAAAGGGAAGCTTTGACAGAAGGTGGCCGGCGAGAAGTTTCCTCAGATCCACGACTAGAATCCCCAATCGACCCAGAAAGTTTGGTCGGCAGATTCATTTTTTCGAGACTGGCAACTGCTGTCCGCACGACAGGAACAGGAATGCGGGGTAGTAGTGTGTCAAAATAATACTGCAATAAAGAAAGATGTTCAAGTAAATCATGCGAACAGGTATGAAATACAATGATAGCACTATCCAAGAAAGTCTCAGGTAGTAATTGATGCATATGAACGGAAAGAGAAGACACCGATCCACCAAAGCATAAGTCTTGTCCCCTCCCTCCGAGAAAGGCTTCCTTACTAGCAAGTCAATGACATAAATGATAAATGTGAAGTACCCATACAAGCTCATATGTGCTGTGACAAATGATAGATCTTCCAATAAAGGGTCAGGCCGAGCACAAGTTACATTAAATAATCATCATAATCGGAAAATGTAGACTGCACAATTCGAAATTAAGGAAACAATAACATGAAAGAATCAGATGGTTTTATCAAATATTAGTCTCTGGGCACACGGGTTGCGTGTATAAGTAAAACTTCTATAAAATCACATAAATATTATTTTAAAATGTGACACCAACTTAAAACCTCGATAGATCTATATTTCTATCTTCTTACTTTAAAAATAGGCGTGAAATTGTATTATAATCTTAAATCATGTGTACATACAACTTTAAAGTAATGAACCAAATTAACCTTCCAAAGCTAATTTATAAGAAACCACGGAAATCTCAAATCAAATGAATCTGTTAATATAAAAATAAGGTAATCAAACCTAGTCATTCTCATACAATTGTTGAAGTCAAAGTAATGAACCAAATTAACCTTCCAAAGATAATTTATAAGAAACCACGAAATCTCGGATCAAATGAATTTTGTTAATAAATATAAGGTAATCAAACTTGGTCATTCTCATACAATTGTTGAAGTCATACGTGTATTTATAACATTATGAATTCATCTTCCTTGTTAAATAAAATAAAGACGTCCAACTTGCTACACGTTCTGTTGTATCTCTCAGATCATAGCCTAATGAAGTTGAAAGACCAAACAAATGCCTCAATAATATAGAAATATCAAATGACATTCAGATTGAAAATAAGGTTTTGTTTTCTGTAATTTATAAGAAGAATATCATATCGACTTTAAACATATGCAAAGAAATATCGTTATCAATTTAAAGCAGAACAATCACTTACATGAATAGAATAAAGTACTTGAAAAACAGTACTTTTTTAATTCACCCAACAATTTGATAGCATTGGGAGAGGTTTAAGTAGTTGTTCCTAAAACAAAGAGATGGTGATATGAAAAGTAAAAAATCACTGACAATTCCATATTTGAAGATAATTTTCATTTTGCAACCATGACACAATTCACATATTTCTCAACAAAGGGAGATAACTATGAAATATATGAATACTAATAATTGAATTAGTTATTATCGCAAACTGATAAAGAATTAACACTTTCTTGTTCTTTACGCCATATATCTAATTCACTCCTTTTATATTAAAAATTAACTAATCAACAATTCCATATTTATAGCAAAATTCTGATGACTTCATATTTAATAGCGTATGATAAATAGGATAATGTTTATATTCTCATAAAACAACTTTACATTTTCAAAATGTATGCAAGAATTATTTTAATTAAAAGTTGTTAAATGAAGGCAAAGTAAACCCTTTTTTAATAATTGAGCTGTTTCTAAGAACGTAATGGGACTTCTCTTTTTAAGGAACAAGGAGGGCCACATTTTTGTTTCTTTCCTTTCCTTTTTATAATTGACAATTAAATAACAAATAATAGACATAAATTGTACATTTGAATTAACTACAAAGACAAAAGAAACGGAAGAAAATGAATTATTCAAATAATACTCCCTCTGTCTAGATTTCACTTTCCTTACTAAACTAAGTTTACCATTGTAAACTTATTTAGTGTTCTGTTGAAGTCAAATTTTCCATTAATGAACATGAATTTGTTTATTTTGATTAATTAATTTGACCAATAAACATGAACAAATTATTTAGTTTTTCTATGTTGGTCAAATTCATATTTTCAAGGCTAATGACTCTCAAGCATAAAATAGGAAGAAAAGCATTATTTATGCATTGATTTGGTGAAATAACAAATATTAAGGAACAATTGTTATTAGCAAGGACGACTATAAATAGGAACAGAGGGAGAACTTGCAGCAAATGATAGATAAAGAAATTCACTCTAGTAGCATCTTATTTAATTGCTTTATTTATCATGTAAAATTTACTATTTAGTACAAAACTATCATCATCATAATAATAATGTTCAGATGAGAGGTATGTAATATGATATTTAGTATTAGTATAATATGATTATTATTTAATATGATCAGAGGAGGGGGGCTTGCAAGAGTCAGAAGAAGTGATGGAGGACAATACCTGCTTGTATCTAGTGTAATATCTGGAAGGAAAGGAATCAGAGCATTTTTGAAGGAAAAGAATGCTCAATACAGAAGATCAAATGGAAAGTAATTACTTCCTCAGGTTTTTGGTGTAAAGAACAAAATATAGAAGGGGGGGGATACAAGTAGTTGATTTCGTAGGTTCTTTGTAAGTATTTCTTTTCTTTTTTCTTTTTTTCTCTTCTCTGTTGATACTTTTTGGAGGTGGCCAGCATAGCCCATAATGCTGAGGAATACAAGTTACCCGTTTAAAAAAAAATTAGATACTTTCAAATTCAGTGTAGGGGCAAAATGGTAATCCAAACTTAGCACTTCCGAACTTCCTACATTTAATAATATTTTTGTATGTGATGATGATAAGCACATATTCATAATTACAGTCACAGAAACAATTGGACAAAACTATCATACAATTGTCTTTTCATTCAGTAGTTAAAAGCACACATATTCCAGAGCAAGAGTTCAAAGAATTATCTACTGTCCAACTCCTTTGAAGAAACTAATTCACTATTGAGTATTGACTAAGCTACAGTCATGTTCTACTTTGTAAAGTTGGCAAACAACATAGAGGCAAAACAGAAACCTCAGAGATCAGCATGCATAAGAAACATCATAAGAGTATATTTATTGCATCACAGCTAAATATTCTCTAAAAGTGGGTTTTAGAGGTGGCACCTTACCTGCCCGAGAAATAAGTCACGCACATATACACCCATTGTGGTCATTTGCCCACTGGATCCAGGAGAGAATTCCTGAAATAAATAGTTAATAATCAGAATGAGCCCCTCAGACCAAGAGTAGGCAAACAGACTAAAGACATAACGGCTCAGTTTTCTTAGATGCTACTTAAACTACTGAAAAGGCTCCCACTGCTTCAAAACCCCAGTTCACAGGAAAAGAAGGAATAGAGGACGGGAACTGTAGAAAAATAAAGAGCAAAAGGTAAAATATCAGAAGTATACCACCATACAAATATGAAAATCAGTTCACCTGCAAAAAAAAATCATGTCCATGCACCTTCAAGCAAGAGTGGTCCTTGCATCCTAAGGCATAAGGCGTGAGAATCATAGCATAAAGTATGCACAGATCATGTAATATTTGCGGCACATATTTTACCAGTTTCGGAAAAAAAATGCAATACTTATGGCACCCAATCAAGATCAATATTTCAGAAGTATAGCTGAGATTGACGTGGTTCTATGCATACTTATAACCTGTTTGGCCAAGCTACTGGGAAGCCAAAAGTGCTTATTTTAGAAATTTGAAGTGTTTGTCCAAGCTTCTAGGGATAAAAAGTGTTTTTGAGTACTCGCAGAAGCTATTTTTTAAAATCTAAAAAAAGTAGCTTTCACCAAAAGCACTTTTGGAACATTGGCCAAACACAAAGTACAGCTATAATATTAGCAGAAGTGCTTTCGGAATCGATTGGCCAAACACAAAATGCTACTCTTCAGAAGTACTTTTCTGAGAATCACTTCTGACAATAGCACTTCTCAAAATAAGCAGATTCAGGAAGCTTTGGTCAAACAGGCTATAGAAAAGAGAAAGAAGGACAATTCTACCACTAAAGCTATTGGAAAGTGAGTTCTTGCAGTAGAAACAGTTATGTGGTGATTCAAAGGAGACCATCAAGATTTTTTTTAAAAGAACCGACTTAAAACAGATCAGCTAGTTTTAAAAGAACGAAAGCAGAGAGGAAAAACATTATTGTTTCCGGAGGGCCAGAAAATTAATTATAGAGGCAATGTTTTGAGCAGATTGACGAGACAAGAGAACAGTAACAAATGATTTCACCTCTCATTCAAACACTATATTCCACGAAATTGATGAAAATAGTCAAACTTGCAAACAAATCTATAGCGTGGAAATGATCAGAATTGACAGATATGTCGTTTGTATGCAAAATGCCAGAATCCTAACAGAATGCACCAATGCATCATCTGAATCCAGAAAACACAATAGAATGATCTAGTTGAAGTAGAGCATTCCATTTTTACCTCATCATCTTTGAGGTAAGGCTCATACCAACCCCATAATGTCTTAAAATCACCAAGATATCTCAGATAAAGGAACCCAATCTGCAAAAGAATAACAAAATCATTTAATCCATAGCAAGAGGCTCAAGAATGAAAGTACAACAACGTAAGAAAACAAATGCCGATGAAATTGAGGAAGAAGGGACATAGTTTGATTGGGAATGCAACTGAATTCTCTATTCATACATGTGCTATTTTAAATGGAGCATGAAAGAAACTGCTGCACATTAGATGGAATTCCAAAAGTCTTATTTGATTCATTACTTGGTAAAACAGTGAAGGTAATGACAAGAAAGTAGAGGAGTTGGTTCCAGTTTGCTTAACATTTAAGCATCAGCAAGAACAAAAGGTAATTGTGTTCGCTTACTGCAGCATTTAGCACAGAAGAATAGAGAGAGGAAAAAGTATGACATAACATAGCTGGTAAAGAGAAGACTGGACTTGGAAACACATTACACACTCTATGGATGACTCCCTCCCACACTTCCAAATAGAAACCTTTAATAGAAGAAACTGTTAGAGGTGGTTAAAAGCTGTGGGTTAGGGTTCTCATTATCCAACTCTACTTATCATTTTTCACTTTATTATGGCACCTCTAACACAATAGCATCACAAACTGGACCAACTTCCAAGCCAACCAACAGCACCGGAAACTCTAAACTTTCATTAATGGTCCTTAGGTCTTTACCAATCAAATTAAAAAGGAATAAAGGTTTTTAAGGGGAGAATATGCACACGACTAGTCTACTACTAAGAAGGCATGATCATCAGCTGAAAATAAAAACAACATCCCCTAAATATCTATACAAAATTCCAAGGGAATCACAGCCAGTAATTGGGGGAGGGAAAACAATTCACAGCTTAGAAAACAACAAATCTTATAGAGAAAGGGTAAGATACAGAACACCACTTACAGCTCTAATGTAAGGAGAATCTGGATGCTTTAACAGGCCATGCATTTGCTTGACAGTAAGTTTCATTGTGAAGAACTTGTAGAGAAGGCAGAAGGCTGTTGAAGGACCACGACAGTTGCCAGTCATCCATGGTTCCACATGGTCAACTTGATTATAGATTTCATCAATCACTTCATGATAAGTTTTCAGGCGCAAAAGGTCTCTGAAGTAATCAGAAGATAGAATGTTCATGCAGAGAACCTTCTCCAACAACTGGTCTATAGGTCTCCCAGAAGTCTTAAGCTCAGCCATGCCCTTAGTGACTTGGACACCAGAGTGTTATCTTTTCCTACCTTCTGTGGCCAACAATAAAAATGATATCGGAAAAGGTTTAGGTTCAGATTATGAATTACCTGTCACAAGAAAAAGTGAATAAATTAGAACCATAACAGCATTGATTGAATTGAAACAACAACAGTGTGATACCACAAAGTGGATCTGGATTAACTTAGTTGTAACTTGTAAGAAATGTTCACTGATACAACCACGTTTGTGCTAACACAGGCATCCCATGTCTGAACAGCTAAATGATCATTATTGCTTGGCACATTCATACAACCAATCAACTGAGAGTCAATCCCACTTAATTGTGATCAGCTATATGAATCATCTTTATTAATTCAGCTCTATTTAGGTCCAGTTCATCTTAATAGTAAAGCAATCATCTTTCAAGGCAAATAGTGAGTTAACTGAAAGGCATCTAAAACTAACACTTACAAAAATATGCAACTACAAATCTCTTGCCAAAATAAATAGACTCTTGACAAACATCAGACCAAATGTAAGTATACCGGTGCAGTGCTTCCCACAAACATGGACAAAATTATTACTTTATTGTTGTTATGGATCCACTACTTATTCATTCAGAGGGAGAGAGGGAGCAAGGGAGACTAACCTTATAGCTTTCCATTGGGTAATAGCCATAGGTGCACCTAGCCCACCCATCGACTCATCTAAATGATGTTCAATTAACTTGCACTAGTGGACTCCTATTGTATTGGAATTAAGTACCTATCTTTTTCTGTTGTCAACTATTTCTTCCACGTTTGATTTTTCTACATTAACACGTTTCTTTAAACCATCTCAGAGGCTATTGTGGGCCACAGAAGGCTACAAAAATAACAAAAAAGAAGCTAACACATTCCTCATCAAGTAGTTTCTTTCATTTCAGATGCAAAAATTGAAAAGTAACTACATAAAAACAGTTAATTGGAATCAAGAAGCTGTTTTCACTCCAAATTTCTCACAAAATTTTTTTAAAAAAAAACTCCAATTCCAATTTGTATTCATGGCCAAATACAACTCCAATTTTTCAAACATCCCTATTCACTTTGAAAACACAAACTCAAATCAAGAAACACTATAAAGGAGCTAACTTTCAAAACTAACCTCTACATGAACATTTAGAAACCCTAGATTCCAATTAAAACTCAAATTAAGAAGATTTTGATGATTTCAAGCTCAAAATACCAAACTATAAATGGAAAATTTGAGTTTTTCGTACCTTTTTTCGGTTTTCCGCCGGAGAATCGATGAGGGAAAATGGAAAATTGACGACGAAGAGAAGAAGAAGGAGAGAGGAACCGGAGATCGAGGGGATACAAAAGCTACTGATAAAGTTAGTATTGGGCTTTGAGAGATCCAATTGAAATTATTTTTGGGCTGAGTACTTAATGGGCTTCTCGTGAACAAGAAAAGCTGATGGGCTTTCTATTATCACAGCCCAGTTTATAGAAATTGTCGAATATCATGGTAAATACTAGAGTTCGATTTCAAGTTATTATATATATATATATATATATATATCGGATTTTTACTTTCTGTACTTTGAATATGAAAAAATTTAGATAGGAAATGCTTTCCCTTTTAATGAGTCTTATACGTTAAAAATCCGAATTAATAAGGTAATAATAGAGTTATCGAATACTAAATTGAAACCAATAAAAAAAAATCAATATTTTTTTATGTAAAGAAACTATACATGGCTTTCATTTTTTTATTCAACAACAATGGCAAAAGATTTAAAGTACACCCAATTAAGTAGATCTTAACCCTTAGCTAGAATCTAAAATAACCTAACCAAACTTACAAAAATCTTATGTCACAAAACACTCTTTTTAAGTTTTATTCAACAATGAAAAATTGAAGATGTCAAAAAAAAAAAACTACTTGTAGAAAGCATATATATCTACAATAGACAACATTAACAATTATGAAACTAGCTTCATTTTGCCTTCATGATTATTCACTTGACTTGCTTCATAGTGTTTAAAATTGAGAAGTTCATGTAGCTAGAACATTTGCCATTCAACATGAAACTTGGTTCTTTTGGAATAGTCAATGGCCTTGTTGATCTGATGTAAAAAAGAACACGAATTCTTAGTTAGACGCGAAGTCAGAAATTTGATCAACTGTGTCAAAATATATACTGTAATAACACATACATGTGTGTACGTACACTGAAAATCGCAAAAAAAACGTCAAAATATGATTGTTGTACTTTAATTTGTTTAATTATCATACCTTTGTGGAAGGAATGGCTTATCAAAAAATGGCATTAATTGAGCTCTTGGTATCATTTCTTTTCTTAGCAAACGAACTTCTTCTTCTTCTATCATCTGTCCAAAGAAAATATTTATATTATATAATATAATATAATATAATATAATAAAACTGTGAATGTTATAAATTTATTAATGATCTTACCTTTTGTACCTTCTCTACTGTTTTCTTCTGTTGCTCTATGAAGTAAGATTTGGTTTCCATCTGTGAATTTAATTTTCTTTTGTAAGAGTATAGTATACTAGTATTCAAGGTTTTCATTTTTTTTTCTTGCAAGTGAAATTAGAGAAATGTATATAGGGATTTTCTTCAAAACAACTAATTAAAATAATATTTAATTATTTCTTAAATAATCATATAACTATATAACATCGCTTCAATCATATACGAAAAAAATACGTTGCTTAAACTACTAAAAAGTATAGTCTTCGATCAAATGTCACACTTTTCGATCAAATTATAGAGTGACCTTCTTGCTAAAACGGCGATTTTCAAGAGGCAAAAACACAAGTTTACAAAAAGTGTTGCCTTTTCATAGACCAAAACCTAGCTTGTCTGCATCTAATATATATACCAACAGAGCAGTAGTGGAATTAGAATTTTTACTAAGAAAAATTAAAATCTAAAAAGGTAAATGCACGAATTAATCAAAACGAGAATTAATGTGTGCTATATATAAAAAATTATTTTAATTATGCATAAATAATATAATTTTCCGCCAAAATCTTCCACACCCTGCTAAGTACTAACATTGTACACACTACACACTTTCATGCACGTGTGATATTTTGAATAAAAATTATATACAATTTTTTTCCATATATCTCATAATAGTGACGTTTACTATCAAATCAATTTTCAAGACTACAATCACATTTATTATATATATTATAAATTAAATAATAGTGAGTATAATAAAATGTTTCAAAATTCATGATTAACAACTTCTAATGACATGAATAAACACTAATTATAATTAATTAAAACACTTACTGAGTAATTGAATAAAGCACGTCTTCTTGCTCTTTGTTGAGTATGAAGTTTGATTTCCGCTGGTCTTATATTATCCTTTGCTAATGACTTTTGTGGAGCCTAATATAAATAAGTCCAATTTTAATTAATTAGCTCTCAAATAAATTTTTGAAGGGAACAAATCAATCAATTAATTAATTAATTAATCTTACACATTATTGTACCTTGTTTTTGTCAACTGATTTCTCCTTTGACTCATATCTCAACTGCAAAAAAATATATATATATTTTTAAAGTTATATAAATGTTGAACCATCTTTTAAAAAAAAAAAAACTAGATTTTTTACCAATAAAAAAAAGTTCAATTACATAAAAAATTAATAGTAATGTCTTATAGTAGTGTGTGTGGATTAGAGTTAAAGTCATGTTAATTAATTACCACATTATTATTTTTCATCAATTGATATTGAGGAGAACTTGATCTCACTGTTCTTCCAGGAGATTGAATTGGTGATTGTGAACTGCTCCTCCCAAGCTGAAATTTAAACAATCAAAAAGATTTTAAAAAAAAAGGAAGTTGAATTATAAATCATATAGTAAATGAGTTTAATTAAAATATTTTTATATCGTCATTTAGCGCGCATCCTAGAAATTATCTATATGTAACTCTCCATAATCTTGATAATAAAACATCTTTACGAGTGTATACAAATGATATGATATTGTAATTCTTTTAACAAAGACTTTTGCGTATGCAATTAATTTAATTTATTATTGAGAATATCATCGACTGTTATGATAGGATAAATAAGATTTTTTAACTTTTAATTAGAAGTTACTTGATTAATTCGATCAAACACTCCCCACCCCACTCCATCACCATCTGTTTTCATTATTCAAATCTTTAATAACATAAAAAGTTCACGATTTAATTGCTTAAGTTCGGACTTTATATATAAAAAAAGTCGTGGTAAAAAATGCTTCCTCTTTTATTGGGATCTTACACAATGCAATTCTTGATGAGTCGAAACTTTTATAAAACGAATATTAAACATCAGTGGGAAAAAATCATATAAACAGTAAAAAATGTGATGTTTTAACTTCAACTTAATTAGATATTAATATGAATATCGTACGCTAAAAAGAAAAACGAAAAATAATAAAACTCATACTAAAGAGTAAAACATGTGTACTGAAAAAACTGGTAAAATCATAATTCTCACCTTTTTAGAAGATTTGGTGTTTGGGCTCTCCATGTGGTTTAGCTAAAGGGGATATGATTAATTCTAACGAAACCCTATATTTATAATATAATACAAACACAACATGTGATACAAATAAAAAAAATTTAAAAATGTTTGGAGATTTGCATTTGTCTGTGGATCAGAATCACTTGTTGTTGCTCAATCACAAGATTTTGTTATTTTTTTTATTTCAAAAATTTGTGATTTCTCTTTTCTACCAAACTTTCTGATTAAATCTCCCTCTCATATCATAAATTAAACTTTGTAATTGCACATATATAGTTCATGTTTAATTCTTGATATGATGAATATTCACTTAATTAATTATGATTATTCATGCATACATATCTTATAGCTTAAGTTTTATGATAAGTTCCTTTAACATTAATAATATATAATTAATAGATTACATTCAAGTCCGGTCATGATGACAATATAATTCACTAAAGATGACTACAAAAAATATCACCAAGCATCTTCATTGGATGGATATAACTTTTTCACCCTAACCAGAAGTTTTGAGTTAAAATTTTTTATAATTTTTTTAAATAAAAAGTGTGTTCCATTTTAATAAGTCTTACGCAATTTATATTTGTATTTGTTTAGACGTTTTTAGTGATATTAAACACCGAGTCGAGCGAAATTTTTTTTATTGAACTCACATTATATATGATATATGTACTTTGTCTAATTATTTCATATTCATAGTTTTTTGTTTTCCTTTTTGATTTTCACCTGATCTTCAGTATTGACTCAACTAATGGGATATTCACGGAAAAGTCTCACTATAGCGATAAAGATCTCCCCAAAAATCGAATTCCATTTTTAATATACAAATTCAAAATTTTTAATTAAAGAATACTCGAGTATTTTTTGTTCAACTATAACCTTTGTCCTCTTGTTCCTTGTTCTGAAATTATTTTCAAATTATTTTCCCATACTCAAAAGCAAGAATCTTGTATTGCAAGAATTTATGGGTTTTTTTTAAAAAAAAAGTCAAAATCTATATATGTTCTAATTAAACATTGTTTAACAAATTTGATGGTGTTATCAGTTTGTGGAATTGTAATTATGAAAAGGAATCAACGCAGGGATTAAGATTTTGCTTAGACTAATTGTGGTCAATTATTCAATTAGTAAAACAATAACAACAATTTCAGTGTAATTCACAAGTGACAAGTGGGATATATATATGGATCGAGAGTAAGATATACTAATCTAATTATCTTTATCCTTTTGGGATAGAGGTAGTACTGTTTTCGGTTGATCTGCTTCAACAACTTTTCTCATTTATTTAAATTTAAAACGATAATATGAACGAGCTCACTCAAATAGAGTTTATTTAATCAGTAGAACCGTCAAAAAACAAAGATGGAAGGTAGCCTTTCATTTCTTGGGCAGTTTGTTAGTATCTTATCAAAGGGGATAAATTAAATTGAACATGTCATATAGTTAGGTCATGAAATCGAAAATCAACCAAACTAATTTTGTAAATGCTTATGTTTCAAGTTTGTTACTACTTATTACAACTTTATTCATTGATAACTTAGTGTTCATGATCACTTGGACAAAAGAGATTGTACTAGAAATAAATTTTATATTAAAATTAGACTTGTTATGCGAGTGCAATAATATTGACTAAAAAAAAATAAGAATTAATTTTTGGATTGAAGTTTTTTGATGAAATTAGTTGAAAATTAATTAATCGAAAACACTTTAACGAAGTATATCTATCAGAAGTCTCTAAATTCGATGGCAATTTGATGGAATACCTATTGTAAATTTATTTTTTTTGTTCGCACATGTACGGGTGTACACTGTACAAATTGAATTGAAAATCGAATCAAAACGCAAATCGAGTCAAATAAAAAAATCAACTAATAATTTGGTTTGACTTGATTTGGTATTAAAAAAGCCCAACTATACTTAGGTTGGTTTGGTTTTAACTAAAAAAAGTTATCTCAAGATCAAATTAACCCAACATTATATATATATATATATATATATATATATATATATATTACT